AAAAAATTGCACAAGATATATAACAGATATTTCAATCAGATTCACATTTTAAAGAATGAGTCCTGTAAGCAGAAATTTTTAGATATATACCATGCATATAATCAGTGTAGAATACAGATAATTTTCCAGTTTTCTCTATATAAACTAAATGTATACATGGAGTTACAGGCAGTCAGTTTTAGTTTTGTTACATTACATGCATTCAACACTCAGCTAACCTAACCTTAGAAGTTCAAATGTCATATTTCTTCTGCTACCATGCTAAAGGCAGGATTGAAAGGCAAGTAAAAACATTATACTTGAAGATTTGCATGGCTTGAGGAGTGCTATTATTAGTATTATTATTATTTCAAAAATAATTCCACATATGTTCGAGAAAATGAGACAGAACAAATATTCCACCGCAACATTCTATAGTGCAGGAAAAATTATGAGTGAGTGAAGGAGGTACATCCCAACATATGTCTAGTTGATATATTTCACACCATTGTGACTAAACCACACTGTTGAGAACGGGGGTAGGATGACTGTGACCTCCTGGAGCACAAACACAGCAGAGTTTGTGCTAGTCCATGTGTCTTCACAGGGCACTGGGCTCTGCTTAGCAGGATAAATGTGAACCCTTGCTAGATAGAAATACAAAGCCTCTTCCCACTTGCAGGACAAGGAGGACCAGAGAAAAGACAAGGTTTTGAATTAAACACTTACTTGAGAAAATCAATTTCATCAGATCACTTTTGTACTTTCAAGTCAGTTTCGTAATCCCTGCTTTTCAGAACAATTATCTCCAGACCCTAATGATGAGTTAACATTATTCTAAAACAAGTCACAGCCATTGGTACCTAACTTAAAGATATTTACAGATAGACTAGAAACAAACTGGAAGCACAGTAAGAGCTGGAAATTCCTGAAGTTTATGTAGAAAGAAAGTGAAAATTTTAAAGCTGATTTCTTTATAAACTACTGAAAAAAAACCACTTGTGAATTTGGCCTTAGTTTAACAAATATGATAAAAACATGACAAAATTTGAGTCAGTTTCAAGGCAGCTACTGATACTGCAATGGACTAATTCTATACATAAGAGAGTGTGACAGACTTCTAAAAAATTTTTGTAGAGATCCATAAACAGATAAAAGCAGTGCTTTAGCCAATTTTGTAACTTGAAGCAGCAACATTATTTTTAGAAAAGCACTTCTAAACATTTAAGAGCAGAATATCTTCTCTCTCCTTGTGAGTATACAAATTGTAGCAAAAGGTTGCTTTAATAAAAGATATGGGATTTTATATACATAATGGTAGCACATGTATGAAAAATTAGAATGATTATAAAGTTTCATTATTATGGCCAAAAAAGAATTTTAAAAACATCCCTAAAACCTGGAAATTGTTTCCTTAATCTAATATTTTATACACTGTCCTTGCAGAAATAAGTGTTGATTCTTCATGACATATTAATATTTATTTCTGTCAAACACTGGAGCAGAATAATTCAAGTTTTTCTTAGCACATTTTTTACTGCTGGGTAAATTGTAGCAGCAACAGGGTGATAAAATAAGATGATGACTGGAGGACCAGGGATGTGTAAAAAAAAAGTTAAGAAAGCATCAAATGTATTAATGACAAAATTGCTCAAAGGAGAACAAACTGTGATCAAGTATGTGTTCCTTCTAACATAGTTTTGTATCAAACTACTTAAATTTTTTTTATTGGTAAGAGCTTCAGTATAATAAGAGAAAGTGAAAAAAATTATCCAGCATAGCCTAGCTTCTTCTTGTGCAAGTTAGACCTATATTCATTTTGCACCTTTCCCTCTCACTGGCAAAAGTAGATTATCAATATTAAGAAGGGAGAATATTTTTTAAAAAATTTTTAATGCATACTGACTGAAAGCTAAATATCACTCTTTACCCTTTCTCAAATTTTAGCTAGCCTGTGACATGCCACAGAACTGTGTGGGTTGAAAATCAAATTATTAGTATTTTGAATGAATTAATCTTCCATTACAATCTTCTTTCTTCCACATTTTTTAATCCTCCTCCCTGGAATCAAACTCAAATGTGGCAAGGTCAGCATGCCTTCTTCAAAACAGAAAGTAAATCTACACTCTAAAAAACCCCTCATGCTCCATTTTCTTCCCCAACTCAGCAGAATTACATGCTAAGAGAATTACTTACTATTAAATGCTCCCTAATATTTAGAAGTAGATGAAGGGCCTTCCTCAGGGTTGGTTATTTCTGGGTGCTCTTTACAATTCTTACAAGTCCTTAGCTGGTGCAAAGAAGGCAGAGGAAAAGAAGAAAAGATGCATGAAGTGCACTAAATGTTTGCAATAAATTGTTATGGCAAAAGCCCAAGAAAAAAAGTTACACATGAAAGCTGTGCACTCTTGGTTCATAATTCGCCCTGATTCCTCCAAAAATGTTCCCTCCCTGTCAGCTTGTCTCACTCTCCTTCCCACTGTTTTCTTGGCTTTTTTTCTGCAGCTGAGGAAGCTTTTTTCCCTGGAAGTTGCTGCATGACCATAGCTTCCTGTGAAGCTCATGTGGTCATTTTAGCTTGGTTTGTTTTGTGCTGAAGGACACAAGGGCTGGTATTGCCAGAGCCCCCAGAATTCCATTGCCTACCCCAACCTAGCTGCAGAGGTGTTCACGAGTAAATAAGCTGATCACTCTGCAATGGTTGTCCTCTAATTCCCCTCCTACCTCTAAGCCCATCTGCCTGAAAAAACCCAACGTAACAAAACAAAACCAAACAAACACACACACGCACCTGGACCACTGATCAGGAAAAAATTATTCATGCCAGGCTTAAACTAGAGGACACCCCTTGCCCTGATTAAAAACTGAAGTGTTTTACAGCCAGGAGAGATAATACATGTGCAAAGCTGAAAATAGTTGCCACACCATGTTTTTGTTTTGTTACCATGACAGCAATCACCAATATTTTGAAGAGAATGACTGCTCACTGACACAACATGAGGACAATGGGAAGGTGTGTTTTCTTCACCAGTCCAGGAAGTCTCATTGTGTGTCCAAATGCAATTATTTCCTATGATGTCTAGGTGAAGTTATTATTCATCAGAAACAGAACCACAGCTGAGCTGGAGAAAATAAAATCTAATTCAAAAAAGGACCAGTGTAGAGATACAGAAGTTTTAGGATTTTGCCTCTTCAAATATTTGCTAAAAGAGGCAGAAATTTAAGGAAAAAAGTCTCAATATTTCTTGTATTTAAATCCTCTATCAGCTAGAACACAGAAATATTTTGGCAAATAGGTGAGAAATTGCTGTTTTGGCTGCCTTTTCTTTTATGCCTTTGTCAGTGTTAGAATCGAAACCTCTTACTACAGTCTACAGCTGGTATAGACCAATTATATTTTGAAGATAACATCAGAAAGAAACTTCACAGCAGTTGGTAGAATTCTTCATGTCTTCCTATCTTAGACCTATCTCCTCCTCCAGAGAAAGAGATATATAGGAAGACCTCTGAATGGGATATCATCTCTTCCAAGAACTCCTGAACAAGAAATGCAGCATGCTGCTGGATTTACAGGTCTCTGTCTTCCTTTCCTCGATCTCTCCAGCATTGTAAATGGTTATGGGACACAACACAGCCGACACACGTCCTCAGCTGACAATACAGAGAATGCAAATGGCAGAAAAAACACAACTGCAGGCACATCAGAGTGTCAGCAATGCTATTACTCATCTATAAAGGCATAATAATCATCAGCAACCTGCTTTTTTCCAGGGTATGTTCAAAAGAAGCAAAAACAGGCACACAATTAAGACTGTTTTCTTAAAAACATTGCATAAGAGCTTAGGCATTAGATCTACAGCTGTGCTGACTGCTCAACCTCTGTTTCAACAAGAACTACAGTGCTGTCATAAGAGTGCTCCAATGACACCATACCATTTCCTAGCAACAATCTATGTTTTGTACATAAAAAAGCGAATTAAATACTGCCTATCATTATGCTGTTAAACATTTTTCCCTCTCCCACGTAAAATAAAAAGTCTTATTTGGACATTATGCAGAACTTCAGACTGTGCTCTGTAATGTAATGAACTGCCAAAGAAGCAAACCTAACATAAAACAAGGTATTTCATGTTATCCAAATTGACCCTTCTGAAAATAAAGTTAGTGTAAGTTCATAATTCCATGAGAGATTCACCAAGTTTTAATCCTGCAATGATGGACTGAAATACCCCATAAGCAAATGGAGAGCTGGGCATTCTGCTTCTCACAGGGCTGTTTCTGAGGAGTCTTTCCTTGCAGAAGCAGCATCTGGTCTTACTTTCTGATATTCATAGTAATTTCTGATCATTCTGTGAAAAATCATTCAACTGCAAAGTGTTGCCCCCTGGCGTCCAAATATTTCTGGCTCTTCTCACTCTCCCACCCCCTGCCCCTTTACTTGCAGCCACCAGTTCGTGTGTTTAAACACACAATTCACAGTTACATACACACAAACCCTCCTGCAACACAAACCCAACTCATCTACATAAATGGAGTTCTGCAACAGTCAAGAGAAAGTTTAAATGCACTAGGAATAAATGCCATCCCATGGAGACACCCTAGCTTTACTTGTAAGGTGGATGGGCTTCTTCTCCCCTCCCCTTATCACCACACAGATCAGCATTTATAACACATATTCCAAGGATGGTAGAAGGGCAGAAAAAACCAAACCACAAAAAGCAGTGTATTTCCATCCATATGGAAGCAATGGTGTGCAGACTCCAAATACAGTGGCCAGGTAGATAAACAACAGCAAAGCAACAAACACAAAAATGAGTGGCATGGTAAGAACCAGCCCTTCAGTCTGGAAAACAGCGGTGGAAAAATCAGGTTATTTCTGCTGGTTAGCTGTTCAGGTCTCATCTGCATAAATATCTCATAATACCAATGCATCTGCCAGAAAGCAAAATAACTTCATGGCTTTAAAAATGTCTTTGTGCTTTTTCTTTTTAAATAAAGAGCAAGGGAGGAACAACAGAAAGTTTTTTTTTTTTATTTTTTTTATTTTTTACCTAATATTTACAGGTAAATTCTGTCCCTGTACTTGTGTATCTCAGAGAGTGGAATAAAGTTGCTCCATGCCAAATTCTTGTTTACAAAGATGTTTGCTATGTGTGCAATACAGTCTCAACATTCCCTTTGCTGCCACTGTGATGACTGTGCTAAAACATGAGTTTGATGATAGACATACAAAAGAGAAAAGAAAAAATCACAGTTATTTAGACCATTTTACATTTTCTTTGATATATTTCTATGTTGTGGAAGAACAGATCTAAGATTTCTCTTAACATTGCTTACATCCTTAGCGCAATACACTTTTTCATACAGCAGTTATTAGAGGGAAAAATTGAAAAAATGCATTTAATTTTTTCAATTTTTTTAATAGAAACCCTGAGTTGATTTTACCAAACACCCTAGGAATTTCCCCTCTATTTCAATGGTAGCATATTCCAACCAATGGGAACTCACAAAGTTTATTGACATATGGTGCCACCTAGCTAGAAGATGTTACACGTCATGTATTACAGATTTGAACAGAGTGCCATGGACAAAGTCGTCTCCCAAATGAACCAAACAGAAAATAGCTATCAAACACACTAGAAAGGAATGGTTTATCTTGGATTAAATAAATAACGATGTATGTTATATAAACTCACAGAACTAAATCAATTTTTTAAAATTCTTAATATTTAAATAAAACCATAAGATTAGAGGCCTTTACTTGTTAGTTCAAAGCTTTTCTGTGTATATGAACTTACCACCCGCAGAGACAAGAGCAAATAAGACCTAGGGAATTTTTTACCCTTCAATTAAGTAACGAAAGAACAGGCAAATTTCTTCTTAAGGCTTTTTTGCAAATAAACTACAATCATTTGGAAGATGCAACAGTGTACCACTGGTACCAGCATAGGCACATACACCAACAATGAAGAGGAGCAAGAGATTCTCTTTTTAGCACAAGAATCAGTAAAAATGCACTGTGACAAACAAGTAACTGAAAGACATTACTTCAACCACTTACTATAACATTTTAGCATTTTTTACCAGAGACTGCAAACTCAAGAGTTACTACAAAATTTAGAAGAACGAGATTTCTCAAAGAAACATGAAAGCTTTTCTTGTGGCATTTAGTGAGCCTAAGCTTTTCTTGTGGCATTTAGTGAGCCTAATCACGTGTCTCAGTACATTCAGCAAACAGGTTACAAGTCAATGCCACTTTTGAGAAGGCACCACAGCAAAAGCATTTATATTTGCTTCTAGGAAGAAGTTTTGTCCTAAAAGCATTTTTTCCCTGGGGAATGCAGGCAGTAAGACTAGTGAAGGGATTGTTCAGCACCCATGGAACAGCAGTTGAAGATTGCTGTGCATAACTAACATTGCTTAAGGGCCAGATAGGCTGAATAAATAAGCAAACCTTCCTCAGGCACAAAGTGCTCTCTGGTAGAGTAATGATGCAAACAACATCCAGCCTTTCATAAACCAGCTCATGGAGCCCATAAAGGCTGATCTACAGAATTTCACAGAGTTTGAATGCATTCTGCCTGAATCCAAGGTGAAGATATCAAATTATATACCGCATATTATTTCAGTTTTCAGTAGTAAACACTGCAGTTCAAACAAAAACCAGAACAAATCAGCACATTCTTCAGAGGGGTATTTTTTAACATACTCCTGTTGGAATTTTATTCAAGAGCTAAGGCAGGCAATTCAACAGCAAGTGTTTCAATAAAGATTTCCTCACCAACTGTAACTATAATTTAGAGTCTATTGCAGGAATCAATTTATATTTACTGTATGAGAAATCAGAGATTTACCAGAGATCAAAAGCACGTTAGGTTTAAAGATACTTTTCAATTGAAATAGTTTTGGGAAGCTGCAAACCCACACAAGGCTATATGCCCATGCAAATCCTCACCAACAACACTGCCACAGGGCGGCAGATCATCCATGTCACTTCCAAGAACCCACAGTCAGAATGCAGGAGTGGCAAAGGAGCCCAAGCACAGTGCCACACACATTCCTAACAACTCCCAGACAGAAAAACCTCACACTGTTCTTTCTTCAGCACTCCCACTTGGAATGAAACAATCTTCCTATTTAGAATTTATCAAGACTTTACTACCAGTTATCTGACTTCATTAATGGTTCCTAAAAACTGAGGAGGTTACTAAAACTGGGTTTTTTTGTTTATAGCTCCATGTGGCATGATGAAATTAATCTTTTGAAGCAGCCCATGAATTCAACCCAAAACTCATTAGTATTCCAGACTAAGTATAAGGAAGCAAACTTCTCCCTGGCAAGGACAACAGATGTGCTGTACATCAAAACTGCTTTTCTATTTTTATTAATATTTACAAAATAATGTAAATTCATAACATTTGTCTGCTTGCAAATAGCAATAGTACAAAACCCCTCAATTTCAGCACTGATGTATTATAAAAGTTTTATTTTGGAATTACTGAAAAGCACACCTTATCCAGTATTTTTTTCACCCTATGAGATATACACATCATATTAAAAAATACAAGTATTATCTTTCCTTTGTGCTTCAAGATACAAGGGATCACAAGAACATACATCTTTTTCAAATCCAGGGTAGAAGTTTTGTAAATGAGCATTCTACTGGAACTATCAAGTACTGTTACTCTGAAAATAAATGCTCCCTGCAGTGATTAAAAAAAGATTTTAAAATATGGGGAAATGTTTAAAACAATTTCTACAGATTATTAGCATTTGGAGATGGAAAACACAATAATTCCTGATTAATGCAGTTCTTTTTTTTCTTCCTTAGAGATGTTCAGGTCTTAGCCTGAACAGTAGATAACAGAATAATTATCTACAGAACTCGGTGATAATTGTACTGCAAACATTTAATGACTGTTGTCGTGATTCTGGGAAAATTATCACTTTTCAGTGTCTATAAAATATAAATTTTTCTAACACGTTATTTGCTGCTTTTCAGTCAAGATTCACACATCAGTAAATAACACTCTCCTTTAACAAACAAAATGAAAGCAGTTCTTGGTATATTGCTACCAACTTGGTGCACTAATTAGTTTGGGGTTGGGGTTTTTATATGTTTGCTTGTTTCATCCTGTATACATGATAATATACAGCAATCCTCATAGAAAAGAGGACAAAAATGCAGTTTCTGTCATGGACAAAAACTTTATAAAAACATAATACAATTAAAATACAAAATAAATATAGTACATGTCAGATTAGTTACTAGTAGCGTTTGAGGTTTCTGGAGACTGAAGAAATTCATACGGATCGTGAACCATGTCTTGCTGTTCTCCAACACTCAGATGAGAGGGGCTTCCTGTTGAATGTGGGAAAAAAAATCAAAGCTTTAAAAGTACAGAAAAAATTAAGAGATATTTAAACATATAAACAGGATGGTTATTTCACATTTTTCTTTTAGACTTTTAAAGTAAGATACCTAAATAATATTTAAACAGGAGATTATGAAAAAGAAATCACAAGATTCTTAGTAATTTAGATAATTTTTGGAATAGTAATCATTATGCTATTACTCTGAGTTGATTACTCTGAGTTAATTATACAAAATGCAACTGACTATCATGCATCCAACATCTTCTATCTTCTCAGAAACGGCACTATATTGTTGAGCAGTATGTTAGCTATCATCCCATCTTATCACTGAATTTTACAGTTGACAATAAAATGTTGTTGTAGAATCCAATTTGTTACTTGCTGAACACAACTATGCTGAAGTAAAACAATCATTACTGACTGCATCACATGAAAGCACTTACAGCAATTACTTTAATCACATCTAATAATAAAATACGAAATTACAATTAGGGGTCTTAGTTCTGGAGGTTCAAAGTATGTCTTGTTAGTTATCTCTGCCAGGCATATTTAAAAATTAAAACATGATCAGTCAGCACACAGTTTTATCTGAGTAGTTTCCCACAGAGATTTATGTATTACTGTGTGAGTTTAAACCAATTCCAAATAGAGCACAAGTACTGGAACTTCTGTGACACAGCTAACTTTACCAAGATGATGTTGGTCTCTTTCAGAGGTATTGGAAAGGGAGCTCAAATTGGATGATGGCCGGGATCCCACTCTGTCAGCCTGAGCTTCATGAAGGTCCTGAAGGAGTTTTGTTGTTTCATCTAGATGTAGATGGTTATCATCATGATCAAACTCCTTCTTCACTTTTCCTAAGAGCCACCAAACAAAACCCATAATTAGCACATGTAAATTGACCCATGAATTACCAAGTCACTATAAAAAAGTTCTAAATTTAACACAAGCATTGTCTATACCCAAATGGCCTCAATCTTGCATTTTTCCTCGCACTTTTAAAAAGCAACAGCTGCAGGCCTGTGCAGTATTGGAAGATGAAGGAAAGTGCCACAAGGAAATGGCTGAAACTGAACTGACTACCAGTACCTAAACAACTGTAAGAGCTTAATTTGTTTCCCTTAGGTGTAAAATACCAGATATGGACAGACTGGCCTGGGTTGGAAGGGACCTTAAAAGGCCATCTCATTCCAACCCCCCTGCCATGGGCAGAGATACCTTTCACCAGCCCAGGTTGCTCAAAGCCCCATCCAACATGACCTTGCGCACTTCCAGGAACAGGGAACCCAAAACTGACACAACTGTGTCAGTGCCTCACCACCCTCACAGTAAATAACACACTTAGTTTGTGGCAAAACAGAGTCAGCAAGCAGATCATTTAAATATCTAACTCAAAATACAGTTAAAACAGAACATGAAATCTATGGAGGCAAAGATATCCGCACCACAGAAGATTCTAAGAACAGTATCTTCTCCAGCGACATTGATTTTTAGTAAGTCAAATGAGATTATGAAATTGGAAAGAACGGCATGTATATGCCAATATATGCTATTCTTTCATATGAAGACCTAAAAAAAACTCCCTCAACTTTAAACAGGAAGATAAACTCCTTCCTTTCTCTTTCTTAAATGCTAATTTTGCAAGAATTATGATAAGAAGTAATTTCATAAACTCAGTCTGGAAGCCAACTAATCTAGCAGTATGATTATTTACAGAAAGGCCAAAGAAGAAAATATAAGCAGCTTTCAGTGGTGCATGAAATTTATAATAAGTCTGATATGTCTAAACATTATCTATAAAATGGATATTTATTCATTTTTTACTGAACTGCAATAAAATTAGAGTGAGACAGCATAATCAGAACTTACAATTGCTTTTCAAACTGCACCTATGTGAGAAATTTGTAGAAATCTTTTTTCCCTTTAAGCCTTCAATTCGTTTTGTTGTGTTTTATAATACATAGCTTGGCCTCTTTCACATTCAGAACTAAAAGTACCTTAAAACATAAGCAAGTTGTGTGCTTGGATGACATTTTTGAGGACATTTAACTAACTCAGCTGCCTGCAGAAATGGTAACAATACTTGTCGTGGTGCTTATAGGATAACTATCAAAGGCATGTATTTGAAACAGTATCCAAATTCTTTCACACAACTGAAGATAAAGTCTATCCACTGCCAGAAGTTTCTTCCCACTTTTGTTCTGGGATGTTCAGTGCAGCAATATGATTTGGTTTCACATACTTACCTAATTCTCAAGTTTGAAACTTACCTAAACTTACTTACCTATTTCTCAAATTTTAAAAGACATTATATGAAGCAACATAATTTCTGAGTGAAAGCTTCACACCGATTCTTAAAATTTATATTACAAGAAATACAAGAAAAGCTATCAAAATAGCGAGGTACAAATACTGTTTTCTTCAGTTGTACAGGAAAAGTTAGCTTGTATAACACATGGATGTCTCAAAGGAAAAACAGAACAAGGTTTCATTTATTAGCCCTGGACTTTTACCACAGTTAAACTTTTACCACATTTATAACTACTTCTCAAACCCTTTTTTAAGTCTTAGCAAATCCTGCTGTCATTTTCACTAAATGGTACAACTAAACCATAACTGATGTCTTGTATATTTAGATACTAACCTAAGGAACTTAACATAGAAATATCAAGAGATACATCTGAATACGGCTTCATGGAGAGAAAGTCCAAGTCAGAAGTGTTACTGTCTCCAGCAGATTCTCCAACCTATTAAAATTCAAGAAAGATTAGCAAGAGTGACAAGCTGTGATGTTAACTTCACAAAGTTTAATGCACAAATCCATTCTCTCAGAAGTGTTATTTCAACATCTGAAACTGGAGCATCCATAGCCATCATGGCTCACCTGAAATTCAGAGACAGCTCAAAAAGATTCCTGGACATGAATGGCCAGGGATGTGCACAGTAGTCCAAGTCTTTTAACTCATGATCCAGGACTGCTGAAATTCAATTACACACTCAACTCATCCATGTCTCATGGTAGAACCCTAGCAGGTGAAAGTATTACCAGTATCCCTCATCTTCCCCATTTGTTAACATTGGATTTATTGAAACTTTTTGTACAGTGGGCCTCCTGTTTGACAGTATCAGCTGGAACTGGTCGCTCTAGTATTTTTCCTATACATTTGGATAATGAAATACAGCCTAAACTTCGCAATTCTCCTTTTTTTCACACTCATTTCAATATTGCTAATGTAATGGACAAAGGAAGAAATCAGAGTCACTAAGCTTCAAAACCTATTCTAAGGGAAATCTCTGAGGATGTCTGATCCAGCAGGAGAATTGAGACACTCAGGTAAACATATTATCAGATACTATCTTTTAGAAATATGAAAATGAATCCTAGCATGTACATCAAATACCTTAACCAGTCACCTTCTAGAGAAATTCACACCTTTCCACAAAATATAAGGAATATTTATAAAACTATGATTTTTTTTAGTTGCTATAATGTGATCCATATAATTTTTATGTGAATTGCATGTAATGTAGTGCATATCTCCTGTTATCACAAATAATTTGCAAGATAAAACCAGTACCACTTAAAGAAAGATTTTATTAGTAGCTGCAAAAGCATAAGGTATGGTTATTTACCCATGCTTTCTAATAGACATTTTCCAAGGATATGCTAAAACCGATTAATATTAATGGGGTTTTTTCCAATTTTACAGCAGGTTGAACCTCAAATATTGATCAGCAGATCAAATATCTTTTTCAGATTCCTATGTGATCTTTCTGCCTCTGAGACTTAGTTATGCATGCTGAAATAAGTTGAAGAACACTAAAGCCACAAATGAAAACAGACTGAATATCAGATAATTCTTTTCAGTACTGCAACCTTATTCCAGATAATGTAATTTTAATATTCAACCTCAGACTGTGCACTGAAATGAAATAATGTCTCAATATTACTTTTTTGTTTCTGTTTTTTCCCCTGTTGTTTCCCTCCCCTACCCCCCAGCCATTTTACCATAATCGGTTTGGAAGAATCCAGACAGGTATTGCGCAACTTGTGTTCTTCTTTTATAAGAACTGGCAGAACCTAAATAACAAAGAAATACTTTAGATTTCATAGCTTATATTTACTAAGGATGTTCCCTGAGAATGTTCGTGTAATTTATTGTTTTCCACAATGAGGTCGTGGGCCATCACAGAAAACTGCCATATTCTGTGATGTTTGAGTAGAACCTTCACAAAAAACTAAAGACCAGCTTTTCTCTAGGGCAATTATATACAGTCATGCCAACAATTTGTAACTAACCAGGACAGCCTCTCCAGGAATAAGCTAAAGCCTCTCCTTTCTCATATACTCCACTTATCATTCTTTTCTGTACTACCATACAGAACAGAGGCACATTAAATAAAATAAAGAATTGGAATGTTGCAAGCTCAGAGAGCTGAGTAACTTTCTCTACTTTAAATGCCAAAACGCTTTTCCCTGTTAAAAACCCCAAACAAACAAAGTATTACCATAACTTACTTTAACTTCATCCAGTGGTTTTACTGGAATGTTTCGCCTCTGGAATGAAAGAATATCAATAACTGCTTATATTGAACACAAGAAAGACATCTTTCTTGTACCATCTCAAGTATATTCAAACCACACACAACAGGAGGCTAGAGATAGCTAACTTTTTCACATATCTGTAACATAATTAGAATGCAACAATTGCTGTTCTTAAATATTTTAATATTATTCATTTTAACTGATCTTTGAGTCCCCTTATACTATTTCTTCTGCTCATAAACTTTACATTCAAATGCAGTATCTTTGTCATTACTTCAGTAACTTCTGATCACAAATCATTCAAAGTTGTACTTCCAGAGATACTAATTCTTACTCAAATGCAGCAGTACAAAATGCTCAAGCATAGAACACCATGTATATGATCACTGAAACACATGTAATTGTATAAAATCAGTGTATATCCATACATGTCTCAACTAAACAGCATTTTCAAGTGTCAATAGCCATTGACCATTGGAAGGTCGTCAGAAATTCTCTCCTGGAACAACATTCATAGAAAAACACAGTAAAAGGCAAAGGCACATTTTATTTTAATGCTAAGTTGACTATGTTGCATACACACGTTTCTATAAATAGAAAAGTATTCAGAATATTGGGTTTTAACTTTTCGAACTAATCCTTTCCATTTCTTCCTGTTATATGTACCATCTTTCTCCATAGGGAAAAAACATCCAGAAAATTCTAAACAATCATCAGTGGTTTTCATTCCATGTCTCCTTATTTCCAAACACCACCCACCCTACTCCACTTCTAAGTCGGCAAAAATGTAGCATAATCTCATTTCCACCACATCAAGAAGCCTAAGCACTTTCCATCTTCCCACCCTGCCTCCCTTTCTTTATTCTTCAGTCTTTCAGTGTGTCAGCATTTTAAATAGCAGACAATTATTTCAAACTATAACTGCCTTTCAAAGTGAAGATAACATGAAATTTATCGTCAGAAAATTTGCAGTTTTTTAGCTTATTCTGACTTGGGAATGCAAACAGTCTCACTAGAACCATACACATTTCTGAGAAAACTCTCTTCTCCAATCTTAGTATGCATCTCTTCAGGAAAGTGCTTTTGGAAATAAGTTAAAAGCTTTCCCTGCAGACACACTACATGAATGTAAAATTTAGCTCTGGAGGGTACAGTGGTAATTATTCTGTTTTTTAACTTTACTTCCATGTTCCAAATAACTAATCCTTCCATGAGAAATATATTTTGCTTTTCAATTAAGAAAAAACCCAAAACTTCACAAAAGGATTGCAATGTAACTCAGAAGTCTGTATGTAAGTCATGACATCAAGTGACAAGGCTGCCCAAACTCCATCCAGCTGGTTGGACCCTGCTATGCTGCATCTCCTGTCTCCTCCTTTCTACAGTCACATAGTGAACCACATTGGAGAACTGACCTAGCCAGAGGAAAGGATTCCTCCTTCAGTCTCTAATTAATTCAGTTCTCTAATTTGGTTTATAGTTGCTTGAACAGCTAGGCTTGCACTGCCTTAACTGGCAGTGGAAAACAAAGCATCTCACACAGTATTAAAAAGCCAATAGGTTCCTTTTTATTCTGATGAATTTGTGACACTTCAGTGCACCCAGGACACACCTGCTTTAGCTGATAAATAGTTTTGGAATGGTCACCACTAGTGATCTGGTCCAGAAGATCATCAACTATTTTCTTGCTGTAACTTCCAGCATCCTTCACAAATTCTTGTAAGCTAGCAGGAATGGAGACAAGCATTACAGAAAACACTTACTTTCATAAAAACTACTTCAATTTAAAATGTTTTCCCAAATACACCGAGTTACACCTACATTTTCTTTTTCCTTTAACTCTTTTATGCTTCTTCAGGAAAGCAATTAAGGTGGCCAGGACATATAGCTTTTTCTTTTACTTTAATAGCACAGTAGGTTTACAACTTGTTTTTCACAAGTACCAGCAAATTTTGTCTTGAACTATCATAGATGGTAGGGTAGTGCGTTAAAAAACAAAACACAAAAGACAAAAAGCTTGAGATTATTTCTTTCCCTCCAAGATCAACAATTTAATGTTAAATGGCATTTTTCTTTTCAAGTAGCATTAAATCTTTTGAAACTCACTGAAAAACATAATTGTTTTAAAGCCACTGAAATATATTACTTGCCTTTTAAAATTATTTACTGCTGGGTAACACTAAATCTGTGGCAACCTGTAACATACTGTGGTTGAAGACCCTAATAACAAGATCCATAACAACTTTGCAATAAAATAGAATAGCTTAAAAGGCCAAATGGGAAAACCCCCCAAAACTTTCCCCACCTCCAAAAATCCAAATGTAAACAAACAACTAAAAAAAACCCCAAGCCAAGAAGCATGAAAGCCTAGCTTCAAATTTTATAGTGATTTATTTTAACAATAAGTTCGAGAAAAAAAATCAGGATTTGGAGGCTCTTAGTTGAGATCTAGTTTAAATTTCTTTGCAAAAAATTGCTATGAGAAGGTTGCCTTCCTAATAAAGAAGACCTTACCTTAAGGCACACTGGATCCCAGTTTCATCACCATATGCTGAGTATAGAAGCTCTATCTCATCTGGTTTCAGATCATGAAATATAGAGTTGTTTTGCAAAGAAGGTGCTGTATTGGCACTGGTAAGAAAGGTTACTATACAGGTAAAAGACATAACAAATTATTAGCACAAGTGTCAAAGACGACTTGGGGGCAAAAACAAAGATTGTATTTTCTGAAACAGATACAGAAAGTGCCATGTAGTTTTTCCTCCAACTGAAATCAAGAGCAGTGTCTCAAGGACACTTCCAGACTCTAGAATCAGCACTATTTTAACCATATAAACAAACATACTTATACTACTGAAAAATCAAGAATTAAGTTATCCACCCCATTCCAAGAAGAAAAAGGTTCACGGTCACATTCTCTTCTGTATTTCTACATTTTGTGTGCATCTACATGTTGGTTGCCACTCAGTTTCTAGACAGCCGATTAGAAACTATTAAAAACTGTCAATAACATCAGGAAAAAAAATTCCACAGCCTGCAAAATCTTTGTCAAGTGTTGCAAAAATGCAAATGACTGGAAGTTGTTTTTCAACCGTAAGTGCAATTACTACAGAAAAATTATTTCCCCCAGAGGAAATGGACTACCATTATTGGAAATCTTCTAGTGTGGCTATAACACTACAGTAAAATATTAATACATAAACTGCTAATTAAATTATGTTTAATAAGCAAAATATTCAATTTAATAAAAGCTGCATTCTGCTGTCAATGGAATTATTATATATTATTTTTAACTAAGCAAACTTTCATAATATAAACAGGTATATACCAAAATGATTTTATATCAAGTAATTGCTTGAATATTTAATAAACACAAAGTTAAAACATGGTCTTTGGTAATTACCTTTATTTCTTCGTTCATCTTTGAAGCCCAGTGTAGTGAAGCCAGGTAATAATTTGCTTGACAGTGAACTCAGATCCACTGGGTGAGTTTCTTCCTCTAATAATTTGATTTAAAAGAAGGCTTAGAAAAGCATTTTGTGTTTACAATTTATGACAAGTAATTAGAATTTGCTATTTTAGAGCTGTAATTAACATAAAGACTTAATGTTTTTTAAACTGTACATTAAGGGTAGGTATTGTAATTCAGGTTCTCCATTTAAATTTTAACCTCAACCTATAAATATGCTTCCATGTCATATTCACAAGATCTATGGCTTAAGTTATGTCTTAATAACTTATTTCACTTTTAAAGTATACAGTAGCATCTGTGATTATTTTAGTAGCCAATTTACAAACCTTCCATATCCAGATATTGCTGAAGTGATAAAAGCAGTCTCTTGCAGTCTCTTATGTTGACTAAGTGGTTGTTTGTTTATAGAAATTCATTACCATCACATTTTAAATTGTCAGTGGCATAATTTCAGAGGCATTAAATCACTTTTCTTTTTTTTAGAAATAGGTAATAGGCATGAGAGCAGCCAAAATGCTCAGAAAAATTCCAGAAAAATTTACTACCAGATGAAAAAGAATTTAGCAGGCTTTCATCTCTCAAAGTGATTAGTCAAAAGCATTTATATATTCATCAGTGAAACAAGAGGAAAGGTGTAAAAAAAATTCTAATCTTAAGAGGTGCAGAGAAGGAAGTGCTAAATCAACATGATGATTCAAAAAACTATGGCATTTTATTCATTACAAATTTTCAATACTTCTGCAGCTTGAGCTGGAAATTAAAGCAAAGGGAAAGCATAAAACAATATAAATACCATAATAGTAACAGAACAACAACAAAAAAGAAAATATCAAGGAACTAAAGAAAAAAAATTGAGCAAAATCTCATCAACTTAAAACTGAAATTTAGCTAATGATTGAAATAAGGTAATAAAGAGGGAAAAATTATTCTAAATTTGCATCTGTGCATTGCACATTTACTTAGAATTGCACCATCTTCATTCACTTTTTGTCATTAGGTATTAATACCACAGTGTTCTTGCAGTAAAAGCTTGTCTTCCAAGCTCTTTGTAAAGTTGTAGGAATGTGTAAGTGCTTATAAGGAGGTATTATTTTATCTTCTCACTATTTGCATCAGTAAAACAAAGCATTTGAAGTGTGAAAATAGGGAAGGCAAACAGAAACACCTTTGGGGTGTTTGGGGAAATGGCTTGGGAAATAATGAAAAGAATGAAATTTTTTGAAAAATAAAAACAATTTAAAAACTCATCTATATTAGGATCTGCAGGATCGGTATCTACAGTTAAGACTTCAAAATCTCTTAGAACATTTAAAACTAGAAATGTTTGCTTCAAAGACTGTGGCTTTTACCTTCTGCTTCTGGATCAGATGAATTTACTACACTAAACAATAAAGTTCCATCTCCATTTTTTTTCAGATAACCAATCTGTGGACAGAACCAGAGATACAGGAAGAATCATTCAAAACTGTTCACACTCAAAGAAGGAGCTGCCCATTTACAGAGAGAACTATAAAAAACATTTTTAGCTGTATTGCATTGCACTTTGGTATTCCCTTTTTCATACAGGGAACCCTGGGTCACAACTATTTTACACCACTTAGCCAGTGCTTCAGAACAGATTTAGGAGAAGTTAATACATCATATATACAATGTCCTATTCATCTTTCTAAGTCTAGATCTAAAGTTTACACCCAAGACAAACCCAATTCCATTGTCAATAGCACAGAGCCAGCCTTTCTGACCTCAAAGTCCAGAACACACATTCTTTAAAGAAGCAGATCTCCTCTCCACAAACAAAGTCATTGCTTATTTTCAAATATAGACTGAACTGCTTGTTTTCATGTCTCACCCACAACTTTCTCTAATTAGAAGTACTTTTATTAACACACTACCAAATTCTTCAAGAGGAAGAAGTGCTGTGACAGACCTACTGAAGCAGACAAGCACAATGCTAAAGACAGATGTTGAAGACGACAGAGCACAGCAGGATCTATAAAGTTAGAGCCAGATCTGATGCAACAAGCAAAGCTAATGTCAGAAACTAACTACACATGAATTGAGGAAAAAAAACATTGTAACCTCTCAATATAAAGGGAAAATGAAAACTGTTCTCTCGCTACAAAAATATTAGTAAATACTTCTGAGGAAATGAACAATAAATCTCTCCTATTTTGTTTTCTATCCCCCTCCATCTGAAAAAGTTTAAAACTCTCTCCATACAGGGGGCCAAAGCATACAATAAAAACAGAGGTGAGAGATGCTGAAAAGAGAACAAACAACATCTTCAAGTGATGGCAAAAGTTAACAAGAGCTGAATTCCAAGAACATGCCAGGATTACTGAGATTCAGTGGGACATGCAGTGGGGCTGCCAAGCTGACTTAACAGCCTTAGCAACTAAGAGCTGCACACCTTGAGAAACTTCCTTGAACATCAAAAACTGACTGCATCACTCAATGGTATTGCTTTGAAGGGATTTTAAAAGCCCCTCTACTTTGGAGGTTTCAAATAGACTTCAATTCTAACAAGTCTTCTCATTCAAAGAAACAGAAATACATTTGAAACTAAGCCTCCACCCACTACTCCTTGCAGTTTTATTTCATAATTCAGTTGAGCCTAAACTGACTGCATAATCAGGGCCACTGCCCAAGAAATGGACATTTAAGTTTGAAGACACAACATCACTTCTGCTTCAAAGTAAAGTTTCTTCTGCAATAGTTTTTTAAAGAGGTGGAAAATGCAGATGTGGACACATCCTGATTCCTTTCTCGACTGCAGCGACCACTAAAGTGACAGATGAGAAATGGGAGCAAAGGTGGGAATAAGTCTCCATAAAATTCAAGGGAAAGAGAGAAAAGGGATCTCAGCACAGATCTGTAGCGAATGCCTGGAGCATTCACTCCAATCCTAGCACAAGGAAATGACAGAATCCACCACTATCATCACAGAGCTAAAAATCCCAGAGCTAAAAAAATCGATCCTTCAGAGAAAACGGCACCAACAGCACCACCAAGCTTGTCCTTGGAAGAGCACAAAACCCAAATACATCGAATAACATCAGCATCACATTCAGGACTGTAAAACATGCTATCTAAACCTACTCAATGAAAGATCTTTGTATTTGGTACTCATGCTAGAGCTGACAGCTACTGTTTGTAAATACAAAACTACAAGACTTTACAAACTCTCCTCATTAAAAACAGTAATTTAACACTAAAAGTATGTTAATTCCTGGGGGGGGGAAGGGAGGGGAGAGTAGGGGAATCCTAAATAGTTCTTCAACCTACACCTAGTTTGCTTTTTCTGAGGTTGCAACAATAAGAGAAGTGTGATGTTATTTTAATCACTTTCAGTGCTAAGGGCTGCAATTCAAGATGGAACATTTTACTGTTTCCTGTAACTGAATTTCCAAAGAGAGAACCTGAGATTGACTTAGGACCCCCTACAGTGGCTTTCAGTGGCAACTAAAGATAGACAACAGCAGTATCAGTACACCACACACAACACACATCCCAGATGCTCCAGTCCCAGGCAGCCTAACAGTAAAGCCTGTTTCCTAATGTGAAACAAAGCATTCAAGAGTCAGGCACAAACTAGAACTGCAAACTGCCATGTGCAGTAGACCTTGCTGTTGGGTAGATATCGATTGATCCTATCCCGAGCTTCATCTGCTGCATGTTCCACTAGTGCCAGGACATGTTCTTCAGCAGTGCTGTCTGTCAGGCTGCATGCATTCCCCTCAGGTTCAAAAATGCAGCTAAAAAAGAGAAGAAGAGGAGCTGTAGCAATTAAAAGCTAAAACAAAACAAAGGGCTGAATTCTGGCTTTGCTTAATAGAGCAATCAGTCCCACTCTTCTCCCAGTGTCAGTCTACCTCAGCACTTAAATGGAATTATAATCATTATAATCATATAATCATTACAATCATATTATGAAGTTTTGCAGCAGAAGCTGTGAACTACCAAACTACTGACTTCAAAAATGTAATTGTTCCTGTATCCTGATGAAAATGAAGTATAAAATGAAGCACAAAACAGAGACTGGGAGTAAAACTGGCAATTATACAAGGTGAATGCTGTATGCATCCTTAGTCTCCCACATGCACGTATACACTATTTTCAAAAATTACAAACAGGAAGATGCAGAAAATAAATTTTGTAATGAGAGATAGAAACAGCTGCTTATCAGAGAAAAAACCCAACAGACTGCATTTATGATGATTATGTCATATAGCTGCCTTCAGAAGTAGGACCAAACTCCCAGTCTAAAAGGGAATCCTTTAATTCCTATGTTTTCAGTATCGGCAGTTAGCATTCCTAATCTGTATCAATCACAAAACTGCTTGTAACTGAAATTAAAGAATTTATCTTTCAGTAGATCCCTTCTCATTAGAGCTCCAAACCAATAAAGTCGCAGCAAATAAGCATACCCAAGGATGGAACAGGACATAGCTATCACATAAAATCAGGAAAAGGTAGTATCATAAAAAGAAGTGTGAAGATATCATAGAATAGGGCAGTCTTCATTATATTTTATATATAAATGTTGTAAATCAAAGTATTTCAGGGCATTATATGGACATTAGACACTAGGGCCAAACACCTTAGGTACTGGGTAGAGCATCTCCTCACACCAAATCCATTTCTCTCTCCTGGGTTATCTTCTTCCATTTGCTTAGCTAAGAATTTCTCTCTGTATAGAGATTCAGATCCGATACACAAGTAAGTTTTGCTATTAAAGACAATAAAAAGATCACAGGATCACACTATTACGAGACAAATGTGTTATACTATTTTGTTTCATTGAAACTTTAAGAAAGGGTGTACACAGCAGGAAACTCCTCAACAACTCACACTTTCTATCACACACTACAGAACACTTAAAGGACAAGAATTTTGAGAGAATGTTCAGAAGATTGTAACATCCTAAAAAACCTTTCAAAAACTATTTAAACATTAGGATGTTCAAGTGATCAAGTCACTTTTTCCTCTATATAGAGGTCTAAGCTGCTTTAACACTTTGTAAACATTGACTTCAACTCCTCTGTTTGTAACCATAAATATGAAAGCAAAAATATCTGCTATTAGGTTTGATTTTCCCCTCTCAAGGTCTTATTCTTCATCAAAAAACACAGTATCAATCCTACAGATGCAAAAATACAAGTATTTAAAAGTTCACATTACTTAGAAAAAAACTAATTTCAACTACTAAAGTTACACAGACACTGAGAGGAACAGAAAAGTAGATTTATACTACATCTGATTGCTGATAAACTGGTACCAGGATGTAAGTTAATGTAGATGGCAGTCTCAATTTCTTGTTCTGTGACAAAGGACAAAGTTACTTTTGTGGTAGAGTTTATGTAAGAATTAGTGCTGGACACCACACAAACCAAATTATTTTGTCTTCTAAAAAAACAGGAACAACCAAAAACCAAAGCACCTACCCCTCAAGACTTTGAAAGGTGCTTTCAGTTGAATTCTATCCACAATCCATTAAACAAAGGAGAAATTATACCTTCTCAATTCTCTATGATACAGGAAAAGATTAGTTTCTGTATGTTATAACCACAATAGCTTCTACCACAGATAATTACTGTTGAAAATTATTTTTTGAAGATACATGTTGCAGTCTTCTATTTCCAAAAAACCCCTAAATCAGAATAACACTTCTTCCATCAGCAATAAGGATTACAAAAATGCTGGAAGTGTAAAAAATGAAAAGTGGCTGATGAGAACTGTAAAGCTCACCTTAAAAAAAAAATGAAACAAGGTATATTTCACTTTTGTTACTTTGAGGATTTAAAAGGAAACCTGCAGAACATATCTACATGATCAGATCATTTACAACATGACTAGTGGTGCTCTGTTGCAATATTTTTTCCCATAAAATTCCAACTGATATAATGCTTTACAATTTAAATTCAGTCTATCTTTGGATGCCTATGCAAGAACACCGAATAAGATAAGTTGCTTGTATATCATGGTTTCTGCTAAAATCTCATAAAATAAATTTATGAAATTCGGATTAAAAAATTAGATTATTAGCATTAGATTTTAGTTATAAAAATATGAATTTGTAACATGAAGGTACCTATTAGCTGGAGGATTACTATTGCACTAGCAATGTATTTTACCACTAAGTTAAGTAAGATTTCACTGGGGATATGTTATCATCTGCTCCAGAAATAATCTCCTGTACTTTCATAACCTGCCAGACAAGGTTAAAGTTAAATAAAATCACTCACTGATCTGCCCTCCTGGGAAGAACCTCTTACATTTTGATGAGACTACTTTAGGAAAGGAAAAAAAGGAACAAAATGCAAAAGGTATTTGTAGCTATACCCAAAATAACATTTTAAACCATCATGAGAAGAAACCACTCATTATTTAATACAGATACAAAGAAGAATGAAAACATCTCTATAGATATTAATTTTAACTGTTTGAAAGAATACGCAGTCATCTTTTACATTGTCTGCTTCAAGTTAGGAATCACTGGGTTATTAAACAGGTTCTATAAATAAACAAATAAAATACAATAAAATTGCCCACTTATCCTCTGGACCTCAGGGAAAAATGCTGAGTTTTTTCCCGTCAGTTCTTTCCTACTGTGTAATGCTACAAAAGCTGCAACAAACCACTAAGCATGCCCATTAAAACCTTTACCTAATAACTTCTTTATTTTGCTTTTTGGATTTCTTGGTAGTCTCTGCTTGTACAGGAACAACTTCAGGAACAGGTTCTTCAACTGCTATGTCTTCATCGCCCAAAAGAGCTGCCTGCTGAGAAAAATCCATGTCCTGCATAAACGACATGCTGCGCTTCAAAGCTAACAGCCGTTCCTAGAATCAGAAAGGACAGAGCGGCAGGGACTTAACCTTTCCCTCATAGCCAAGATGCTATGATAATGGGATGGGATGGGATGGGATGGGATGGGATGGGATGGGATGGGATGGGAATGGCCATGGCCTTATTTTGTTCTTAATCTCGTTTCCAATGGCGATGCAACATGATTTGGTCATGGTAGCATGGCATCAGAATTTCTGCAGCCCAACTATCAAGAGAGAAACAAACAAACAAACAAACTGCATATGCAAAAACAACTATTTTACACAAAACTTACCATCACTGTAACACATGCACACACACACATTTGTGCACACACAGAGCAGCTCACAAAAAAACCTTCATTTGACAAGCCAACAACTGTATCTGAGTAAAAAGTATTAGTGACACTGCTGAAAACTCCCCCACACCTTCAAAAAAGTAACGCTTTCTTGTTTACACAGAGATAAAACTTAGAGATCTTGCTTTCAAAAGTTTCAGCCCGAAGTAGGATTTTTCGATAGAGTTGCATATATGTGGATTCTAATTGCTTCCACTGAAATAAGCTCTTACAGACTTCAGTGGTGCAGGTAAGGTTGAGAAATAAGTAAAAATTACTGGGTTATAACAAAAATGCCATCAAGCCCTTAAATATAGCAGCACTAACTGGCACTGCTATAATTCATCACAGATGGATGAAACATTTACCATTGTTACTTTGTCCATTTTAAGTATGGTAACATAAAAACCCCCAAAGTTTCTACTTTTTGTTTTTATTTGGTCTCTTACTTTGCTCATCATCTTAAAGCCTGTGTGCAGTATCTTCTTGGCTAGCTTGTAGTAAACAGTATCTGGTCTGTTGTAAGTCATTGCATTATCACACATCAGTTTAAAATCAGCCTGAAAAATACAAGACAAAAGAACTGTAAACATTTCAGGTCCTTTGTTAAATGACTGGAAGATATCACTCCATCTTGGCAGCTCTTTGAAGAACACAGCAATATTCTAGGAGCAGGCTCATAAACACAAACCAAAAGCAAAGGTTTGAGCCTCTTCTACCTCTCCAAGATGCTCAGTTTCCTTTGGAACAGGCTTTTGGTTTTAAAAACCACTCTCTTTCCTGAATGCCAAATGTAACATCTTCTCTTTAACCAAGTGGACCAAATGGACTAAATGGACCAAACACTAGACCGAGCTACCAAGGTGACTTTTTACAGCATTGCAAGCCCTCTGCCTTCAATTACCAAAACCATGAAAAAGACAGAAATTGAGAGGGTGACATGGACGAGCAAACTATGGCCCAAGAAGCAGACAAAGAAGTGCATGTAAGCTACAATGCCAGTGACGGCCTTTCAAGTGCTGCAGAAACAGCCAGTCTTTTGCTTGCCCAACTTTGAAGCAGACCCTTTTTTTACTGAAGCAAAACGAGTGTTCTGCAGAAATTGCCCCTCTTTTAAATGCAGGACAGAGTGCTTTCAGACTCTACTCTTAGACAGATTATTTATTGTCTTGTGACTAGCCTCAGCTAGTTATATCAGACAGGTAACCTTTTCAGCAGACTTTGTTTCAGAGGTTAAAAACCTACAAACTTCATTTCTGTATTAAGGTTATGGCTTGGTAGTTCTGTGTAATTAGGTACCCTCATGTATCCAGAAAGGGAGTCCAATTCCTTTTTTGATCTAACATGGGCAGATTTTTAAGAAAACTTTTATCACTCCTCTGTCTACAAGCAGAAGCTAAGTCCTTGAAGAAAGAAAAAGTCAGTCTAAAAACTACTGCCATTTTCTTTCTTTTGTTTCTATCCCACCAGTTTCAATACTGCAACCTTGCCTGTTACTTAACAGTTACAGAGCTTCTTATAAATCTCTATAGCATATTTAACAAAACAGGGTAATAATCTTTGTCAAAGCATCTGTAAGAAATTTAAACCATTCTTTGCTCGCCTTGCCGGACCTTTCAAAAAAAGAGATTAACCCTGAGAAACAAGCCAATGCTCTCTTGCTGAGGCTACCATCATATCAACATCAGTCTAGGAAAAAGCAATTCCAAAAGCTGCTAATAATTAATGACCTTCACAAATCAGTTAAAGAAAACTCCTCTCCTTCAGGAGGTACCAATACTATGAAAAAATTTCTTACTGCACTGTCTGTGAAACCATGATGTATCTAATAAATTATTTCAGAAAAAACAATACGATTAATAACTAAGTTAAGCTGCAAATAAACTTGCCAAGTAAGTTTCTGCCAGAAGACAATTTCAAATGAAGTTATATAAAAACCAGAATAATTAAAGATAAAAAATATGTAATTGCTCTGTAGTCATATACAAGATGCTCCAGTATATCCGCAGGTTTTTTGCAGACAGGTCCAAATTACATTTAAATCAATCTAACAAGGTCTAGATTAAAAAAAGGAAAAAAAAAAAGCTCAGTGGTTTAAGTCTTGGTGATAACCTTATTCCTGTCGAAGTTTAGCAAAAACTAAATTCCACAGAACTTTAGAAGATCTTCTTGGTTTCCATAGTAATTTATAGAAGATTGTAGTAGAATATGACAGATTATTTGTAACACACTGAATATACAAAAGTGCTCAGTTCTGAAAAAAATGAGCATTAATTAATGTAACAAAGGCTTCTGCAGTTAAAAAGAATCTTCAGTTTCTTACTAGTTGTGAAATATCTAAATCTTTATTCATTCACCTTGAATTCAGTGACTGATTTGTATTCATTTGCTGCAATTTTTTCCTTCATTGTACCAAAATCCATAGGGTGTTTTATTATCATGGAATATCCAGGAGCAATGGCATCCGTGACTGGAAAAGCAAAAAACCCATGAGGATCTTTCCTAAAAATAAAAACAATAAATTTAAATTTACAGCAGGCAACAAAACAATCCTTGCTTTTGCATCACATTAATAACACAAAAGTACTACTAAAAAACGAAAAACATTCTCATAAAATAGATCCATGTTTGAAAAATTTCCTAATAAAGGAGAGCATTGTAATTTCACATATGTAGACTTATTTTAAAAAGAAATTATTGAAAATTTTCATTAAAAATGTCTTTCAATTCAACGATCAAATGGTCAATTCAAGCTAGTTCTTGTATTTCTTAATTAATTCTTGTATTTTTTCCGTGTCTCTACATTCCAACTTGGTCTTTTGGCTTCTTGTGGAAAAAGCTCAATTCTTCTTGTTCATAAGGTCCTCTAAAAATAAATACAATGTTTGATTTTTTAAATTGGTTCCAAATTCAGCTTATTGCTACAAAATAAAAAAGGATTTTTTTTTAAACATGAGGTGCAGGTTTAAGAAAACAATAAAATAAAAAGCCTCTCCCAATTTAGAAGATTATCATGTAACCAGGTCTAAATTTGCTTTGTATCTGACAGTGGACACTGAATAAAATAAAATTTAACTAAAACAGTCCAATCTTTTAAAGTAATGTAGAATTATAACTGGCTTTTAATCTCTAAACTAAGTCATTAATATTTAATAAATTTATAATGGCAATGTATAATTTGCCCAAAACACTTATTTCCCTCCACAATGCTAGAATTGCAAACTTGGTAATAATTGTCCTCAACTTATCTTTAAAAACAACCACGTCTGACATGGTTGCAAAGGTTAACAAATATCTTACCAGTCAGTCACCAGGCACTACTTTCAAACAGAAAACCAGGATATGAAGTTGCCAGGTAACACATACAAATATGCACCAGACACAGCCTACACAGTTGAAGATACAAAAACATTTACTACCTTTGAAGCTGGCGAAGGAAGTGTTCCAGTAATTGCTGGATTGGCGTGCTCTCATTTTCAGCTGCATTTTGAAATGAAAAGCCAGATAAGTGCAATGAAACCACATATGCAGATATTTTTTATTTAAAAATATAAGTACCAGAGAGAAAATCTCACTACAAGTACAATTTGTATTGATCTGAAGCTGAATGTATGAACATGGATTTCAAAGTAGAAGCAAATCAGATATCTAAGCACACAGTACCTTTTTCTTCTTCCTTCATTTTCTGAGGTTTTTTTTCTTATCATAGTAAAACCTAGTACCCATTAAGTCATATGTAGTGCTAAATTTAGCAGCTCTAAGAATATGCATTAATAAGATTAAAATAATTACATTATATATTTCTGCAGAAAAAGTGACACTTGGTTGCTCAAATACTGCAGTTGGGAAATCCATATTCTTACAACATGTTTGCTGTGCAATTTTCATGGTTTCACCATAAACTCCATGCAATACTATAAGCCTTTTAATCACAGAGTGACAAACAGACACAGATTTACTGGCAAGAGAGGCAACAACTACAATTTCACTTCCTGTACAGATCACACAAGAAACACTACATGTTAATGACCTGTTACTTCAGAGACTGGCTTTAAGTGATGTTTGAAACGTTAATGAAGCATCAAGAATTGAAAATTCAACTCTCCCTGATAGAGGAAAGACATTTCTTAAACAGAATGGGTCAGGTAATTTATATGCTTTCCAATACCATTTTACAACCAGATGAAAAGAGAATAAAATGGGAATAGTTTTTATCTTGTCAGTTTTTAAGGCTCCTGACTACCCAGAAACATAAAACTCTGATCTGAAAATTTCAGTTACCTTGACAGCTGACGGCCACTATTCCTCAATTTAATGTGTGGTCACAATTATAAAATTCCTTGGGATTACTTGACTAGTCAAAGGGCAGTATTCCAAAGACAAGACTCACAATATTCCTAATGACACAATTTTTTGCTACTAGGTTCCATTTTCCGGCTTATGTATAACTGAGATCACAATGTAATTGAAAATTCTCTAAAGTAAAGGTTTCCACTGAGCAATGCTGAGTTTTAATTGTCAAGCAATGGCTACTGAAGAAAAAGCAAGGCAAAATCTCAAAAGATCAAACATGCAGAAGTTGCCACCCACAACTGACAAATATTCTGGCTGGTGATAAGAATTAGAGAAGATTTGTAAATTAAAAATAGGACTGGTATGTGGTGTCTACAGTCTTTAGAGATACACTATCACAACTTCCTTTCCATGAGAATAGAGATGCTCCACATAGGTTAGAAAGCCAAAAAAGATAAAAACAACACCTAAGAAGTCTCCATGAGAGATTTTTCCCTTGAAATAAATGAAACTTAGTTTCAGGCATTCTGATCACTATGGTGTAAATGCTAAGGAGAAGGAATCAGGGGAGCACTATGTGCAATAACACTTTCATAATGAGGTTTACCCTGCCAAGGAACAGAGGCCAGAAAACAGATGTCCTCGGGAACATCAGTGACCTGAAAACAAACCTACCAAAACATGGAAGCACCAAGAGGAACATTGACTTTTCAGAGAGCAGAAAGTTCTGGATGTTGGAAAAAGTCAAGTTCCTATATTTCAGTAAATCTTCACGAAAATTTTATCTTTGACAAAAGCTTTGTTTTGTGTGCTTTTAAAAAGAACCAAAATAATTTAATCTTTCACACTGTTCACCTGGCTGAGTTCTGCAAGCTCTGACAGGACGATCTGGAGGAGGTTCAACCTCCACCTTTTTCCCAGGATCAAAGTCATCAGTTTCTCCTTCAGTGTCACACTGTTCCTTCTCCCTTTTCCTCTTTTTCTCTTCCTAGGACAACAGAGAGAAGACATATTTTAGAAGGATGTGCAATCCCACACATCAAAAGGCAAGAAACAGCAATGTTTTTAATTTGGAATACTCATTCAATATCCAAGTCATAATACTGTTTAAACAATATTGCATATATTTTCACTATCAATTTTTCAATTTTCTTCTCCAATTAAAACTGTTCATCTTTTGCTACTTTGTACTTGATGAAGCATTGTTCTATCATTCTCGCATGTTTATTGAAAATAAAAATTCTGAAGCTATTCATATGTAAAACTGCATGATAATAAGCTACACCAGAGAGCAAAGAAAGTTAATTGACTATTGAGTAAAGATCAATCTGTGGCTCCGCTCTCATCAATGTATTTTTCTTGTTTGTCACATTAAACAGAAATGAGTAAAATACATGACAACTCAGCCAACAAAAGAACCATAAAAATCAGTGGAGGCAATTAATGATCTCTTCCTGAGTTTCAAAGCAAAGGAACATCTAAGTCATTCCTGAAATTCCACAATCATTATCCACATTTGCACAGAAAAGCACACTTTCATTAACCTTCCTTAGACTATGGTTTGATTACTTAAAGATCCATTAGCTTATTCTGAATGTATTAATCATAAAGTTCTGTGAAAAAAATCCAAACAACCCCCATCCCACAAAGTAAAGGCAATTGATACTGCAAAATCTTGTATGAAGGACAGCAGGTTTTGCTACATTTCAAGTCCCAGCCTGAAACATCTGTACTAAGAAAATTGTGCACTGCCTGTGCTGTTTTTAAGAGCTTCTGAACGATCCTATGAGATCTGTCACTTCCAAAAGATTTTTTTGTTAGGCTTGTATTACTTGGAACTGATAGATGTTAGCCACAAACACACACAAATTAGCACCAAAAAAACTGTCACACAAGAACAGTAAAACTACATGACAGGAAAGAATTAAAATGCAGAAAGGTCAGAGAACCATTATTACATAAAAGAAATACTCTTAAAATTGAATTGTACAAGTAACTGTGCTGTCAGTGCCTCACTATTGATTTTGAACAAACTCCCCAATGCTCAACACAGACAACTAAGTTGACCACCCTACTTACTACTAACAAAGTCACAAAGCCCAGCACACAGATTATTCCAAGAGCTAACAATGTAATATACCACAGTACTCAAGAGTTAAGAAGCTGTTTTCAGTAAACATATCAATGTCCAGTAACTTGGCACATCTCCCAAATGTAAACACAGCCTGGAATTGAAAAGCTGAAAATAGCCATCCCTAAAACAGTAGCAAAACATGTTTGTGAACAGGCTAAAATACAAAAGATCCAACTGAAAACCAGAAACATTCATTCAAAGTAAATAAGTAAGGAAAATAAAAAGTTATAAGAAGGAAGCTTTTACTTTGTTCACAGAATCATCACAAAAGGTATCCTGTAAATAGCAGAAGTACACCAACTCACACACAAGGGTTTTCTACATTTCTGAAGTGCTATCTCCAGACAATAAGCTTCTCATAACAGTGATTCAAACAAAGTTCTGCACCAGATTTTAGACCTGATAAACAAGCATGAAGGCTGGTGTGCCTGAATTCTAAACATCCCAGCTTACTTTTCTCTTTCTTCTTTCCTCATCATCTAGATGCTTTTCTTTTTCCTTCTCTGACTTTTTCTTCTTCTTTTTCTTCTTTTCTTTATGTCGTTCACGCTCATGATCTGATCTATCATCGTAGTAACTAGAGTCATGCCCTGACCCAGAGAGTTCAGTGACTTCACTGCCACCAACTTTAAGAACCAGCTTTAAGGGTTTTTCCAAAGGCTTGTCCACATAATCTAAATTAAAAAAAAAATAATCAATAAATGCACAGGGAGCAATTACAGAATCAGTCACACAGCATTTACAGAATCAGTCTCAATTAGGTCAGAAAAGACCACTGAGATCAAGTCCAATCTATAACCAAACACTACTCGTCAACTAGACCATGGCACTGACTGTCACATTCAGTCTTTTCCTAAGCACCTCTAGGGACAGAAACTCCAGCACCTCTCTGGCACCCCATTCTAACACATAATCACCCTTTTTGTAAAGAAATTCTTTCCCAATGTCCATCCTGAAGTTCCCCTAGTGCATCTTGAGGCCATGTCCTCTCGTCCTGTGGCTGGTGGCCTGGGAGAAGAGACCGACCCCCACCTGGCTACACCCTCTTTTCAGGCAGCTGCAGAGTTACAAGGTCCCCCCGAGCCTCCTTTTCTCCAGGATAAACACCCCCAGCTCCAAAACTTGTTCTAGAAATACTGATTATAAGAATTCGCTGCAAATCAAAAATATACACAATACATTTGGAAAGAAAAACAAAAACCAAGGCTAATAAGTCCAAGCTAACAAACAGTCGTTCTGCACATCATGAGTTGTAATGTTCCACAAACCTGCAAGACATTAGAAACCGGCTCTTCGGCCTCCACTAAAACCGTCGCAAAGTCCTTGCAGAGCAAGGTGAAATTAAGCACCACTCAAGCACCGCAGCGACCGGATCCCCTCAGGAGCGGCCGTAGGAAGGGCGGAGACGCTCCGGCTCGCACTGCACCGCCCGCCCCGCGTTCCTCGGGCCGCCCCCGCCACCGGCAGCTCCGGCACTCGGAGCGAGGGCTCTGCCCAGGCCCCCCAGCCCGCGCAGGGACGCCGAGCCCCGCCGACAGCCGCGCCGGGGGAAGGGACGGGCGCGTCCTGGGTACAGAGAGGCCCCCCCGGTCCTTACCGCTGTAGGCGGTGGCGGAGGTCGAGCGCCATTCTGCCTTCTCGGCTTTGTGCTTCTTGTGTTTCTTCCCCATGGCGGAGCCGCAGCTGGCCCCGCCGGAAGCGCTAGGGCGGGCGGCCCCCCCGCTCGCCACGGAGGAAGATCCGGGTGAGTGGCCGGCCCTGCCTCGCCCAGCGCGCCCTTTACAAACAGCGGCTGCTGCTGTCGGTGCCTGGTGCCTCCGGCTCGCCCGCGCTCGCGATCCCTGTCGCCCCGGCGCGTCGCTGCCAAGGCCGTGCCTGCCTGAGGTGATTCCCTGTCCCCAGCGCTGAGGCGGGAGCAGCCGCCCGCCCGTCCGTACGCGCGACCGCCCTCGCGGCGTGTCCTGAGTCTGTCGTCGCCATCTCCTGAGGGAGGGAAGGTGCCGATCCTGATTCTCGTCCCGATCACGTACCTGGTCTTAGCGGGGGGCCGTGTGCACCTGGACGGGGCACCGGGAAAGGGCCGTCCGTGCCGTGGGCGCGTAGCAGTCGCTGGAAGTCGCTTCTCTTTGGTATCGCTTTTCCCCTAGGAGCGAGAAAGATGGAAGACGCTGCTGGAGATTTGAAGCAAGCTCTCCCAAACATGTGTGACAGCGTTCAGATCCATGTGGAAGTTCACCAGAAGTCGAACAGGTATCTGATCAAAGCGTTGCTTGCTGCTACTTGTGCCTGTTTCCTCTCGGCCTCGTTCTACGGATCTCCAAGAGCCCGCAGGACCCAGCTCTGCCTTCTCTGTGCTCTCCCGGGAGTTTCCTCATGTGTGTCGTTTCCTGAGATTGAACAAATACACTTTGCTCAGTTTCACCTTGTGGGTCATGTCATCCAGTCTCATAATGAAGTTGTTGGCCACGTTATGGGTTTGCCCCAGTTTAACCTTGTCTCTTTTGTGTCTGTGCTCACAACTGCTCACAGTACTCCAGATGTGGTCTTACAAAGCCAGTGGATGAAAACGCTTACTCTCCCTTACATCTGCAGTCTTGGTAGCACAGCCTCAAATAAGGTTGTCCTCATTTGTAGCAGGGGCACACTCGACTTATTGCCAGCTTATCCACCCAGGACCCACGGGCCCTTTTCTGCAAAACAGCATGTCATTCAGTTTTCCTCTGATCTGTTCTGTTATCTGGGCAGTGGGTGGAGAGCTAAGATTTCATGTTTACCATTTTGCTGAACGTCAAAAGTTTCCAGTCAGACCATATTGCCAACCTGCAGAGGTCCCTCTGAACAGCAGCCCCCCCCCCCCTCCAGAATACTGAAAGTTCTCCTTGCTTTGGTGATATCCATAAACTTGATGCAGTCACTTTCAATCCCATTGTCAAGGATGCAAAAACAGTGCTGGTCCCAATGCTAACAGCACCACACTGCCTCTCTCCACCCAAGTTACTGACAGTCTGCTTAATCTTTGTACTAATCACAGCCCTCTGAGCTGGACAGTCCAACCCTCCTTGTCTGTTTATCCAGTTCTTAAGGTTTTGGATGTCTGAAGGATATGGGAGAGCATGTCCGAGACATTAGAAAAATCAAAGAGTAAAATACACACTGTGCTATTTTTGCCAGGCTTAACAGAGAACTGAGAATTTGCATTTGAATGAGTGAAATTGCAAAATTAAGTTAAATCTTCAAATGGTATTCCTGTTCCTGTAGTTTTTGTCTCTTCTGGAATGCTCCCTATATTGTGTCCCCATCCTGATGTTTCAGCTGTCCTGAAAGTATAATGGAGCTTCCAAGCTAAGCTTACCAAATTCAGTCTGTAGCTTAGCTCCCAGTCGTTCTGGGTTTCCTGCTGAAACACAGATTGCATAACTGCTTTCCATTCTTGAAGTCTTCTAGCTGTCTCATTCAGTATCCCCTGATATGGCCTCAAACAGCGCAAATGGTATTATTTGGATTATGTCTTTTAATGCACAAATTAAAAACAACTGTCCAACTTGTTGCTTTTGCAGACAGACTGAATCTGACAGGTTCTTTTCTCCTGTAGAATGCTGGAGGATGATTGAGTGGGTTTGGGATTTTTTTGTGTTAGTTGTTTTTTTAGGATTGGGGGTTTTGTTGGTTGGTCATTTCCTTGGGTTTTTTGGTGTGTGCAAGATAGAAGCTATTTTCCATGAAAGCGTCATGTATGAAATAATGCTTTTCAACGCTAATTCAAATTGCCTTATAAATGTCAATGCCATAAATTAATGATGTTTCTTTCTTGCTAGTGTGGCCAAGAAAGAAGATATTAGGACAAGTGTCTTAAAGCTGTTGAACAGACACAACATTGTATTTGGTGATTACAAGTGGACAGAATTTGACGACCCTTTCCTTAACAACAATGTGCAGTCTGTGGCAATTGTGGACACAGACCTGAAACTGAAGGACAGACAGGTATTCCTTGTCAAGAACATGCACCTCTGTTTATGTGCCCCTGAACTAGTTGTAGATGGACTCGTGGTACCCTAAGGGCAGAAGCAAGACAAGGTCTGTAGAATGATGTAGTATCTCTTCTTAGGCTGACTAGTATAACTAGGAAAAGGTGGCTATTTTTTTTTTTTTTACTGTTTATTAAGGTCTGAAACAGAGGTAGTAGGCTTCAGAGATAAATGCCAGCTGAGGACTGTAACTTTCTTTTGTTCAACTAGCTTTGAATGAGAAATATGACCGGTAACAAATCTTTTTATGTTCATTCTAGCCTATTGACCTGAGCACAAGCAGTCTTTCTCTTCATGTTTTTCATCTGAATGAAGGAGGACCAACCTCGGAAAACCTGGAAGAAGAGAATGATGATATCACTGCAGCTCACCACTGGGTGCTACCAGCAGGTACCTGTGTGGCATTTCTGGGAGCTCTAGAGCAATAAAGAAAATATTGCAAAGGCTAAAAGTGTTTATAGTTACCTATAAAGGTACTATTTGTATTTATTGTTTGTCTATATAAAAAATATGTTTGGACTTTTTTCTTTATGGAACAAATATATTTGGACTTTTTCCTTTGTGGTTTTGACTGACGTGCTGCAGATGATTCCAAAACACATCCTTTATTTCTGTAATACTTGTGGATGTGTGAAAATAACTGGTCTTGTTGTCTAAAACATGTAGTCATAATCAGAAGCATGCAAGTTTTTAACATTGGTGATTGCATTCCGAGTTTTTTTTAACTTGAAGATCCACAAGAAGCTTATCACTTTCAATGTTCATTTTCCAGAGCTCACTGCTGGCTTCCAGCCCCCATGACAGTACTGCTTTTATACATGAAACAGACAAACAAAGTAAAGAGATTTAGTCTTTATCTTCTGGAGAGGAAAAATCAGGCTTTCCTCTGTGATAGAGCCAGACCTGCCTGTTACTGTCCTGTGCTTGGGGAAGTTTGATTCTCTGCCTGAAAGGAAAAGCAAAAGTGTGAGCTTTAGCTCAGAGAGACAGTAATTTTGAAACATTTCCTACTCTTTCCATGTTGTGAAATGCCTAATTATTCATTACATTAGTTTTCAGGAAGAATTAAAACTGATACATTGACATTATTGTCGTGGTGCACTAAAATCAGGGTGACCCGGCTCAGCGACAACAGAGGTGCAACAGACCCCCCCCTTTCAAGCTCTGGAGAATCCCAGCTACCAGTAGAGGTTCAGCACAGGAACAAAAAGACAGGAACACGGGTCCAGGGGTAGAGCTGGGGTGGCTTTATTTGGTGGTGATTTCCCTTGAGTTCAGGACTCCAAGACCTTGACTCGCGGTTAACAGGAGTTTTTATAACTTTTGTCGGGAGGAGGGGTTTAGGGTAGCAAACCAACAGGGATATGGTTGGGGAGGGGTCTGAAGTGGGGTAATTCGTACTTAGACCAATGAAAGAACACTAGGGAAGGGAATAACTTGGGTTCTAAACAATGGGGTTCTAAAGGATACAAAAGTGACAAGGAATTTACTAGAAGAGAGGGTGGGTTCGGGGGAGGATTGACACCTAGGGGGAGGAGGAGTAAGGAGAGTTCTGGGGAAAAGAGTAGGGATAGGAGGGATTGACAGCTGGGAAGGGGAGGCGTTTGAAACTTGGCAGGGAGTGGCTGGGTAACAAACAGAAGGACTGACACTTAACCAAACTGAACAACAGTGAGGGAGCAAGTCTACATTTAGAAACATGAGATGCAGAATGGGAAACCTGTGCCACTCCAAAGGCAAGGTCAGGACAACACAAAGGGATTGTAAAATCACAAATTAGATAGTGACCATGCCAATAAAAACTAAAGAAAACACACTGCAGCAATTATTGCCACAATTTTGTGGTTTATAGTTGTTCAGTCTTTTATGCTTTTCTTTGCTGAAAGTTAGAAGCCAACAGCTACGAATGATTGATACTCAAATGACAACTTTAGGCTTTTACGCATTGTTCACTACATGGTTTTTTTTACGTCTTGATGTTAAAAAAAAAAAGGCAAACTTGAATGATAAAATTTGCCCTAGAACCCTCCTCCTACCACTAGTTTTCATTGCTTCCTTGGTGAAATGTAAGTTCGTCCTCTACTGAGAATGGAAGGAACGGTATTTTTCATTTCATGTTAAAAAATTAACATTAATTTCTTGTCACAGATATTGGAGGAAATAGAAGCTGGGTAACTGCTGAATTTGTGTGTAGAAAGTGGTCTTTGCATTTTGAGAAAAATAAGTTGAAAAACTTTTTTTTCCCCCACAGATGCTTTACTTGCTTTCATATACGTGTTCTTAATTCTTCATTTTAGTTGAGCATAATTTGAAAACTGTTTTGTGCTGCAATGATGAGTTACAGGTTTCCAGATTGATTTATACTAAACAGGTATATAATATATTGCTTTTGCAGCTGAATTCCATGGTCTTTGGGAAAGTCTTATCTATGACACTGAAGTAAAATCAAATGTAAGTTGAAAATGAATAACAATTAAAATTGCTTGAGGAGAAGTAAGAGCTGAAATTAAACCTGTTTGAAGTTTGCTGCATCCTATGGAGATATGGCTGCAGGCTGGGCAGAAGGGAATGGGAGTATAACTTTTGACGCCGGCAAGGGGGCTATTTTCAGACTACAAACGAGACAGGGCTGCTGGGAAAGTGCTTCGAGCTCTTTATTTCTCAGCATCAGTCTCATTACA